GCTGGCAGTGGCAAAATGATGACGGGTACCGAGCCCGGCGTCGTGCGGCGCCAGGCCACGGGGCGGCGGGGCCCACCTGCACTGGAGAGGGCGGCGGCCGTAGTGGTCGGCGTCAGGAAACGCGACGAGCCGAGCATCGACGCCGTGGTGACGAAGTCTCGCGCCGCGCCGTACCGGGCGGCCCGGCTGCGGCCGCGGCCCCGGCCTGCCGCACACACGCACACACGCGTCCAACAGAGGCCCTGAACACTGCGACTGGACGCTCGCTCCGGCGCGGCGGCCGGCCAGCGCCGGCCAGCGCTGTGAGACACGATACAGCGAGAAGCGAGGCTATTACGGTCAGCATCCCCACCAACACAAGCATAATGGCATGGCCGTGATCCATTCTCCCACGCCGACAAGATTCGCCAACTCGCCAAAGCCCACGGCGTGTTAAGAAACAATTCACAAATATAAGTCGTGGGCCGCAGACATTGCCCCCCCCCCCCCCCCCCACCAACCGCAGTCCAAATGGTGAAGGAAACAACGGTCAAGCGCGGCGTCCTCTCCCAGCCACGGCGGCGAACGGCGGCGTACCTCGGCTGCGCCTGAAGCGGCCACCGTCCAGACTCTGAGTGACCCGGAGCCGGCAGCCGGGCGCCGGGCGGACGCCAGCCGGCAGCGGGAACGGCTCGGGCGACGGCGACGGCTGCCGCCGGGACAGACCGGCGCTCGGCACACCGCGGACCGCGGCTGGGGGCGGCAGAGGTCAACAGGGACCGCGACTGGGGGCGGAGGTCAACAGGGACCGCGACTGGGGGCGGCGGAGGTCAACACAGGCCACGGCTGGGGCAGCAGAGGTCAACAGGGACCGCTGCTGGGGACGGCAGAGGTCAACACAGGCCACGGCTGGGCAGCAGAGGTCAACACAGGCCACGGCTGGGAGCAGCAGAGGTCAACAGGGACCGCGGCTGGGGCGGCGGAGGTCAACAGAGGCCGCGGCTGGGGCGGCAGAGGTCAACAGCGTCCGCGGCTGGGGGCGGCTGAGATTTACAGGGGTTGCGGCTGGGGACGGCAGAGGTTAACAGGAGCTGCGTCTGGGGACAAGGCAAGGCAGCAGTGGCCGTGTCTGAGGGTGGCGGAGATCAACACAGGCCACGGCACCTCTTGACGTCCGCCGCCCCCAAACACGACCCCAATCTGGGAGACGCAGAGGTCACCGGAGGCAGCGCAAACCGGCCAACGGAGGTCATAGGAGTTCAACTGGGGTCAACAGGGCACGCGCTGGAGCAAGAGCGCCCAGTGGAATTCGTGTTTGGGGCTCACAATGGCACCAGAGGCAGTGTCTGGATGTCCAAAGAGGCTACCAGAGACTGTCTAGGAAACACAAGCTAGAACAAAGGTCACAAAAGACCCAGTTTGGCGTTCCTAAATCACATGCACCAAGCTGTATTCGGCGTCACATTCGACGATACCCTTCACGCTCGCTACCTACGAGCTGTCCACCTGTCCGTCTGTCATCTATCGAGATGTCTGTCCCCCACAGCTGTCCCCTCTGTCTGTCTGTCTCTATCGAGATGTCTGTCCCTTACGAGCTGTCCCCTGTCTGTCTGTCATCTATCTAGGTGTCTGTTCCCCTACATGCTGTCCCCTGCCTGTCTGTCCTCTACCTGTCTATCATCTATCGAGAAATCAGTCCCATACGAGCTTTGTCATGCCTGTCTGTCCCCTGCCAGCTGTCCCCTACGAGCTGTACCCTGCGTGTCTGCCATCTAACGAGATGTCTGTTCCCCGCGAGCTGACCCCTGCCTGTCTTGTCATCCATCGAGAAATAATGTCCCCTACGAGCTGCGCCATGTCTGTTTGTCCCCTACTTGCTTTACCCTGCCTGTCTGTTCCCAGCCTATTTGTCATCTATTGATATGTCTATCTCCTGCGAGCTGTCCACTGGCTGCCTGTCATCTATCGAGATGTCTTTCCCATACGAGCTGTCCCTATCTGTCTGTTATTTATAAAGGTGTCTGTCCCTTACAAGCTGTCTGTCAAGCTTACCATCTGTCCGTCCCTGCGAGCTGTCTTCTGCCTATCCTCTAACGAGATGTCCGTTCCCAACGAACAGCTCCCTATCTGTCTGTCCCCTACGACTACTCTCTGTCGGTCTGTCCCCTATCTGTCTATCCCCTATCGAGATGTCTGTCTTTTACGAGATGTCCCCTGTAGTCGGCCCGTATTCCCAAAAGCGTCTCGTTAGGATCACAACACTGGCTACCGGTCGGGCCGTCGACCGACTGGAGCGTGGGCTATCTCCTCACCTTAAACGGCGGCGTCGTCATCATTTTCAGCGTCGCGGCTGCCGCAGCGGGGGCAGGCGGCAGCGGAGGAGGCGGCGGCGCAGGCGGCGCGCTGGGAGTGGACCGCCGCCGACGGCGGGGACGGCACGTGCGCCACCGCCCCGGCTCGGGCTCGGGCTCGGGCGTGCCGCTGTCCGCCTCCTGGATCAGGTCGATGATGGGCGGCTCCGAGAGAGAGTCGGTCGTCGGCGGCCGGCGAGCCGCCCGGCTCTGGACGCTGCGTGGCGGCACGCGGCCGGCCCCTCGGACGCCCTGTGGTCAGCCAAACACACACGGCGCGTGTCAGCAAAGAGGTGACCGAGCACGCGCGCAGCGGCCGTCCGCCCGCCGGACGCGGACGCGCCACAAGCTAATCAGCACAACACCGCACGTAACGCACGGGTAAGCGTTCCACACTACATACCACCGGGCATTCCCAATCCCTTGAAAATAACAAGATGCCCGTCTCGACAGTCTCCGGCCGCCAGGGGAGTCCGGGCAAACACTAATCTGACAGGCAGACCACACTGGCGGCAGACGGCTACTAGCCGGGGTGCGGGGCCGTACCGCTCCTGGTCGGCCTGGCACGCTGTTTGGCCGGGCCGACCGGCCGCCGCCGCCGCTCGCGCGCCAGGTTCCTCAGCACCGCGTCTTCGCGGCAGAGTGGCGGAGTCGGCAGCCGCGGAAACACGGGCAGCGTGCCGTCCAGCTGCTGCGTCAGGATGTTGGTCAGGAACTCGGAGACCTCCTCCTGCCGGCCGACGCACGCATGCCGCGTCAGAGGGACGAGTGGCGCGGCGCGTGAGCGGTAACTGACAGGAGCAGCCAGCCGGAGGGCGTCATATCCCAACCGAACAGCACTCGACACAGCCGGCTGCCGACACAACTTATCGGCACGGTCACAGCACGTCACGGCCACTGACGGCCCGCCTCGCGTGTCGTCACCGAGTCGACCCGTGCCGCCGCCGCCCGCCCCCTCACCATGACTGCGCGGTCCACCATGCTCTGCGTCAGGCCCTCGCGCTGCCGCTTGTGCCGGTTGACCAGCAGGCGGCGGTCGGCGCCGCCCACCACCACCAGGCCAGTCTCTGCACGCATCCGGTCGCGCATCAGCTCGAGCTCGTGCGGCGCCGCGTCGCTGGCCGACTGGCCCACCAGCAGCAGGGTGGGCGTGCGCGACTCGAGCAGCGGGTCGTCCGGCTCGCCGCGCCGCCCGGCCGCCGACCAGTACGGGAAGCCGAGCCCGACCACGGCGCTGACGGGCTCGACCAGCGCCAGGTGGGCGGCCACCAGACCGGCGGCGCCCCAGCCGAGCAGGACCAGCGGCCGGCCGGGCCGCCGCAGCTCGGCCACCTGGCTCCGGCACATGGCCATGATGTGCGACAGGCTCTCGCTGACGGTGATGCCGCGGCTCGGCGCGCCACCTGCCGACGGGGCGCAGGTCAGCCGAGGTCAGACATGGTCAGCCGAAGTCAGGGACGGGTCAGACGAAGTCACGGACGGGCCAGCCCGTCAGTCGCAGTTCAACCGAGGTCAGACACGGGTCAACGGATGATTATAAGACGTGTAGCCTGTCATATACAGCTCATTACGCGCCACACCGCAACGACTGTACCGGCGCACATACACACCACGCGAACAAAATCGCCAGATACTACAGAAACACCTGCAGGGCAGAGCCGGCTGCTGTGTCAACGAACGGTATATGTCGGAGCGCAGCGGCAACAACCATCTACGCACGCCCGGTCCGCTCGTCGCCAGCGAGCCTGCCGACCGACTGGACCCTGCGGAGGGCGCAGAGCGGCCGTCGGCGCGCGCCACTCACCCTCGAACACGCTGATGGCGACCACCTTGCCGAGCGCCGAGAGCTGGCGGTGCCAGAAGTCGAGCCGGCCGGTGCCGAAGCCGAGCCGGCTGGCGTCCGAGCCGTGGCACGGCGACGACGGTACCAGCACCAGCAGCGGGTTGTTGGGAAGGCGCCGCTGCTCGGCACCAGCACGGCACCGGCGGGTCAGCGGCGCCGGTCGGAGCGCTACAGACAGGCGCGTGCGCGCCACCAGGGACGGTGCCGGAGGTGGAGACGGCGCAGCCGAGTACGCCGGATCGTGAACAGTTCTGACTTTGTTCTGGTGTATTCCGCCCGGATAGGTGTGAAACATTCCGAGGTTTTAAGGGTGGGCAACGTCTATGTGATGACATAGTACTGCATATCTTATGATATTGCATTCATTACTCAAACACTTTACCAAATGAAGCCATTGAAGCGCTAAGTTCCATGCCTATCCCACGCGTCCCATCCATACTGCCACAGGCAATGGTGAGTTCTTACTGATTCCCTGGCCGGCTGGGTTATCGGACCGCCGCCGATCACCGCTCGGTACGCACCAGCTTGTGCTGAGAGATGATGTGGGTGGCCGGTTCCCAGGGCCGGCGCAGCAGCGGCGCCAGCGTCTCGGCGGAGAGCGGGCCGTGGCGGGGGCCGGCCGGCCACGTCAGCCGAGCCGCCAGCGATGGCGTCTTGCTGGTCAGCGTCTGCCGACAGACGGGGCAGTGTCGCTCAGCCGCGGCGCACGTCGTCAGACACCCGCACACGTCTCCGGGACGTCCCTCAGACGCTGGAGGGCCCGACAGTGGGTTGTTGTAATGGGACGTGTGGTGCCTACACACCACATGGAATAGCCACGGCCAGGAACGCGGTCCAGTGCAGCCCCAGCCGGCCCCCCGTCACGAGGCGTGCCCTCCACCTGGCCAGCCGGCTGCGCGTCGGAACGAGCGAGAGAGCGCCGCACGCACCTGCACCACCTCCAGGTAGAGCGCCAGCGCGTCGCGACCCAGCTTTTGCAGCAGCAGGCCGTGCAGCCACTGGCAGAGCGGCCGCTGCCAGCCGGCCGCCGCCAGAGCGCGTCGCACCCGTGACGCGCACCGATCCGCGTGCACGCGCGCCACGAACGCCGCACCGCGCCGGCCGGCTACCGCCCGTCGCGCCAGCTGGTAACCGTCCAGAGCAGCCAGGATCCGCCGGAGCAGCTGGCGCTTGGCCGGGCTCCACGATGACCTGGCGGAGGAACGGTGAACTAATGTCAAGCAGCCCGGCCGTCAGATGACCTCACTGCCGCGGCGGCCGCGAGAAATTGTCGTAATAGTCGTCACCAATATTAAGCAGTGGAGAGTGTGTGAACGATGCACGCAGCAGCGTGAACACTGTCTATGAACTACTGAGCGTGCGTAAATTTCCCACAAATATTGGGGCCATCCATAAATCGCGTTACGTTTTTTTGTTGTTGACAATTTCAAACCCCCTTCCTTGGCTACGCACTGTTTACGCTTAGTGGCCTCCTTGTCCTGTGGTTACACTGAAGGCCACCACAAATTTACAAAAAGGTTCCGCCCGTTTGACCCTTTTCCAGCTTAAGCTGTACACAAGTACCAGCGTGCTGCTTGCGATGATAGCCAGCAGAAAAAAGGATCAAACCAGCGGAACCCGGCTTTCTGGTTTCCGAGCATTGAAAAAACTATAACATGATTTGAAGCTACACCTGAAATAACGTTACGTTGTCACCCCTCCCCATGGCTACAGACCTCGTTTAAGCTCCATTAAAAACCATCCGCCTCCAAACGTGAGGGTCACATATGTGTATCTCATCAGTTCATGTCATCTTGTTATGATGGGAATTAACATCCATCTTCTTAGCTGCCATCAGCAGCGGAAGGGCGGGGGGGGGGGAGGAAGTGGTCGGCTAGTGGTTCCCACCGGCTGCGGGCCCCTCCCCGCCCCCGGGGAGTCTCACTGGTCCAGCTGTTCAATCACTCCTGGCCCTCCCCCGCCCAACGGGGAGTCTCACTGGTCCAGCTGTTCGATCACCCCTGGCCCCCCCCGCCCCCGGGGAGTCTCACTGGTCCAGCTGTTCGATCACTCCTGGCCCCTCCCTGCCCCCGGGGAGTCTCACTGGTCAGCTGTTCGATCAGGTCATCGGGCACGTCGCGCGCGTTGGCCACGTGCTCCTGACACTCGTCCATGGCGGCGCGCGCCGCCCGCTCATCGGCGGCCGTCAGCGTCTCCGCCTCGTCCACCGACTCACGTCCACCGGCGAGCCTGCAGCTGTGGATGGGGCGGGGTCAGGCCATCAGCACGGTCAGGTCACCAGTGGGGTCATGTCACCAGCGGGGCCATGTCACCAACAGGGTCGGGTCACCAGCAGGATCAGGTGGCCACTGGGCTCAGGTCGCCAGCAGGATCAAGTCACCAGCAGACTCAGGTCACCAGCCAGATCAGGTCACCCGCAGGATCAGGTGGCCACACCAACAGGATCAAGTCACCAACAGGGTCAGGTCACCAGTGGGTCAGGTCACCAGATAAGTTGTCACTGGAGAGGTCAAGTCATCAACAAGGCCAGGTCACCAGCAGATCAGGTAATTAGCAGGGTCACGTCACTAGCGGGATCATGTCACCGGCGGGGTCAGGCCACAAGCCAGCACCCATCATCACACATGCTATGGGGCAGGGGCACACAGGGGCGATCTCACTGTGTCAGGAGCACTGTAAGACAGTGCAAGAGACCACATGACAGGCGATTTGTGTGAAATAGGTTCACTGTGTCTGCTGCAAAACATCATATTAGATCATCATGAAGCAGAAAGCTTGTCAGTTAAGTCCCATCCACAATACTATGCAGTGAAGTCCGGGCTGAGCTAGCCAAAGCTTCTAGTGGGTGACATGGGTCTATGTAGTTTTATTTGGATGCCATTTGTCACCATGCCACTGGTCGCCCCATTCTAGAGGACTGATCTGGCTGGCAGGGGCAGCGGCAAAGAGCACTCACAGCTGACGTCCACTCTGTGCCGGGGGGTTGACCAGCACCAGACGGGTCTGGTGCTGCACGTGCACCCCGTCGGAGCGCCAGCTCCACGGCCGGGTGTACAGGTGGTCCAGTGACACACAGTGTGTCTGACGAGTCTGGTGACGGTGACAGACAGGCACAGTCAGATGCTGGGTGGAGGTGGTGGTGCACAGAACAGAGATGTGAGCATGTGTACATGGGGAGCAGCAGCCAGATGCCCTGAGCTAGTGAGACACTGCAGAATGGTCACTGACCAGCTGGGACATGCAGCATGACGAGAGTATGGATATGATTTGAACAGGTTCTTTTGTGGAGGTGTGAAACTGCACATATTGACATACCTTGTGACCTCTTACTTCTCTGTTTTCACACTGGAAGTGCATGTCTACAAAAAATCAAAAGTGAAGGTACCATAGAATCAAAAGAGGCATGAGAACAATGATGAAATTTCCAGTACAAATTCAGTTCATGGAACTTAAACATAGTTTGGGCAGTTAGTATGTTATTGGACATGTAAATGACTCTGCAGCACCATGGCCATAACCACAGTGAAGCCACAGTGAATATATCCATGTACACAAAACAAAGAGCATATGTTGAAGATAGGCAGCTGGTGCATGGTACCAGATATTCATGCATACTTGCCTATCTAAACTGTCAGCAGCCATGTTTGCAACTGTTGCACACTTGGCCAGCAGCCCCAAAGTGCCTGATTTCTGACAGGCTCACCTTTGTTGAAATATGCCTCAGGAACGCATCGCCCTGTGGTGGTCCCAGATCCTCGCCCTCATTGCTGTCCACTGGACTCAGGGGCTCATCCGGAGTATGAGACAGTGGGGTGGATGACATTCTGTAGACTAACTGCAATAATACAGACAGTAATCAAGGGCACACCCTCATAATCTCCTCCCCCCACCTCCCTCAGAAGTGATTCTAGGCCTGTCAGTGGAATAACAAGAGGTCTTGCATTGGCCAACAAATAAACCTTGGTAAAACATTGGCTTGCATATCAGTCTTGTATTAAAGCAAGCAGTTAATGTAGTGATATTGTGAGATATAAAGTTGGTCAGGTTTCAACCCAGTCATGTACTATATGGCTGTACATGTTTGCACAGAAATACATAAAGGTTGCATTAATTATAAAAATGGCATCTATGGGCCAGACTGAAAGAAATATGCTACCCTAAGCATGTGACAGTAACATTGCAGCAACAACTTCCATGCACATGCAGTGTGACTCCAAACTCTACATTTGGCAAGCATTTTGTACCCCTTTCAGCGAGCTGAGTGCCTAGGTCTCAAGGAATTGCATTTTTCAAAGAAAAATTGGGACCAAAATGGTCCCAAAATATTTATCCTGGAAAAATCGTGCAGAAAATTGTAAATCAAAACTCCAGCCCAGTATGCCTCCGCGTCTCCGTCTCAAACATAAAAAAAACATAGCAGCAAGGAGAACCCCCACGCAGCAAAACATCAAAGGAAATACTCTGCATGCATAGTGAACTTATCTATCCTTTTTTATCATCGTTTGTATTACACTTGCACGCTCACATTCCCACGCTGTGTAGTACTGGGACTTTGGGGTAGCTCTCTAGCGGCACTTACGATTCCTGTGGTGCATTCGCACCACATACCTAGAATATTCTGACATTCTTATTGTAGAAGATGATGCAGACTATAATCTAAGAGAAAATAGGAAATGTAACTTTATTTTAAATAAAATGTCTGTTGTTTTAACCAAAATATAAAATTTTAGAACCAAAACATTATGACTGAATTAAAATATACGTCATATTATCTAGGGTCAATACCTGATCAACTTACTTGATTGCGATAATAAACAAAACCATAATAGCAGCCTTATGGAACCGGGAGAAGACGGCTTCCCCGGTCGCTTGTAGAGGATTGTCGATGGGTGGGGGAGGTTGAAGGGGTCAGGCAACTGGGTTGGTGGGCGTTGGACTGCCTGCTTCTGTTCAGTGGCTGGGAATCAAATAAAAAACGAAGCGATGCAGGCACATGTGGCGTTGTCAAACACTGAGGCAGACTGGAGTAGAGTAGTAGTTAGGTAACTGGTTATCACATCAGCATGACAGCACCATTAAGAGTGTCAGTTTTTCGGAATGGCTGTGCCGGCTGTGGTCATGTAAGTTCTTTTGAATCTTTTATGAAACCTGTCTCCTTTTGGGCTGTATTAAAGGCTCCTACCTTGCATAAAGGTCAGGCTTCATGGGTGGGTGTTAGGTTACAGGGGTGTAGTTTCATAAAATAAGTTTGGGTTGTCTGTGCAGTGAAAGATTGTGAAGGATGCCATATAATTTTCCCAAAGAAAGATTCCCTCCAAATCTGTCCACTTCTTAAAGCTGGCAGAGGAGTTGGAGCCTCTTCAAAGTGATGGGAAGGTGCACCCCTGAGTGGTTATCGCTACCACTTTTCTGCTGAAACAATTTTGGCTGTATTCAATTCTGACCAGGCTGCTGACTGGGTTTGTCTGATTTCCACTGCCTAGCTTGCAAGACACTGATGTCACGTTCTCTTTTCTTTGATCATGTATGTGCTGACTGAATGGGATGATTCAAGTGCTCAATGTTTGATGTCATTTTTAGGGCATGGATGTACCATTGCATTCATGTAAGCATCTAAATATGATAGCATTTATGAAAATTTTGCATTGCTGAAAGCATATTGTAATGATGCAGTATTATAGATAAATGCAGACATTCATGGGCACCATCCAGTTACATCATGCTCATCTGGTGTGGACTGTTGTAATGCCATCTCTGGCATGCAGTTGCATTCTTTTCAATGCAGTTTGGGTTTAATATTCTGCATGTTTCAGGCCCTTCTGTTTAGGAACTCCCTGAGTGACCTGATGTCAGCAGCATCATCCAAGCTTGGGTTTGCTGTTGGAGCACTGTTTAATGAGCAAGGAGGTCTCATTAGTGATCCAGACATCATAAGGTAAAAATTATGTTTTGTCATATAATGCTCAAACAGGTGGTGTGCAATGGTGTTTGCCATCATAAGGTCATGACTGGATTGGTAATATTTTTAGCTGAACAGCATTTAATAGTATATCTTAGCCAGAAGCATATATGATGGGCTTGCTGTGCACAGCACCCAGGTGACAACTGATGTTGCAGGGATGGTGACATACTGCTGGCGGCTGCCGAGGGTGAGCCGTTTTCCCGTGCTGCGCCATCCCTCGCTGCTGGCGGCGCCGCTGGTGTCCGGAGCGGGTGCTCCGACAGTGGCACCACTGAGTGGGTGACGCTGAACGTGGGCGGCCGCCTGTTCACCACCAGTGTCACCACGCTCACTGGCGTCGAGCCGAACTCGATGCTGGCCAGGTAGGCCCCCACACCGATAACAGGGTGATTCGTCTGGTGGCGTCTGGCTGACTGATAGTTGGGGACTTGCTGACTGGAAGTGTTGAGCTGATGGCAATATGAAGGCATCATGAGAGATGATCTTGGGTGGACTGAGGCGGTAGGTCATGCCAGCGGACGGTGTGAGCTGAGGGATACTTCTAGGGGATCCGGCTGTTGATATTTAACAGAATTTTCCACCAGGTCGAGTGGTGGAAAATTCTGATGTTTGGTTGGCCAAGACCAGGGCTTGGTAATGGACGGTATTTAGCGGGATGAAACATGGCATGCAGACAGACAGGCTTACCTCATTGAGATAGCAGACCTGCTGGCAGATACTGTTTATCCCACTGAAAGACCGGGACAGACTCCATTTGACAGTGGCAGACGACATTTAGCTGACCAAGACTTGGAAGGCATTCTCACAGAATATTTAGAGCACGTCGTCTAACGCTATTCGACGACTATGCGGCCAAGCGATGCTATCACATGGTGGCGTGCTGATTGGCACAGAACGGCATGCTGACGCATGGTGTTACTCTCACCTAAACGTTAGGGTATGTTGACGTGTATGTGGGGCACCAATGCGTGGTGTCCGGGGAGGGGGGGGGGGGGGGGGGGGGTTTTGGGGGTTTGGGACACCAGGGCATGGCGACGAGCGGTATTGATTGGCGGGGACGCCAGGCCACAGTGTCAAGCAATATTCGGTCTCAACTTGGGCGTTGACTGCGTGCTCAGCTCGCCCCGCATAGTATGAATGACAGCGCACACGGACAGATAGCCGAGCCTAATGCCTCCTCATGATCGCCCCGCGTGTCTCCGCCTAGGCTGCAAATCTGGCTGTACTGGCAACGCTACCGTCTCAAGGTGCGTGTGCCGCTGTGATGCCTTCCGACCGTGTCGCTGCAGGATGTTCGGCGGCGACCCTGAGGGCTTGCGTCCCGGTGACCGGGACAGCTCGGGCGCCTACCTGATCGACCGCAGCCCCACCTACTTCGAGCCGATCCTGCACTACCTGCGCACGCGGCAACTGGTGCTGGACGAGGGTGTCAACCCGGCCGGTACGGGGCGCGCCCGGCGCGGTTCCGCCGGCGCCGGGCACCTGGCACAGACCTAACGCTAGAGGGCGGACGGGGCGTGCCACCGATACTGCCGAACGGCCCGGACACAAGCGTCAGTCTATTTGCGAAGCAACTACCACGCAGCGTGTGCGTGTGTATGCCTGTACTAGGTGTCGGCGTCGCCGAGACTGCAACACGGCCTGAGTGAGCTGCCCTTGGCGTGCCGCTGCGCCACTGTGCGCCCTCTCACGCCCGGTGTCGTAAGCCTTGTCAGAATCTGTGGCTGAGCGCGCCGTCTGTGGCCAGGTGTGCTGGAGGAGGCGCGCTTCTTCGGGGTGGAGTCGCTGCTGGGCCGGCTGGAGGCGCTGGCGGCGGCCGCGCCGCCGGTCGCCGCCGACGCGCCGCTTTCGCGCCGAGAGGTGGTGCGTGCCCTGCTGGTGACGCCCAGCCAGGCCAGCCTCCGCTTCCAGGGCGTCAACTTCACTGGCGCCGACCTGTCCAAGCTCGATCTCAGGAACATCAACTTTAAGGTGGGACCGGGCGCGCCGAGGGCCGGGTCCCCGCCCGGGGCGCGAGACGAGCGGCTGCCGACGATCGCCGGCGGTGCTTGTTCCGCTGGGTTTGGAGTAACGGCGGTGGGTAGCGACTGTGACACTTCGTAAATGGCTATCCTAGAGGTATATCAACATCCGGTTCCAATGTTCTACTTTGTGTTGTGGATTGTGCGGGAGGCTTAAATGGGTTACGCCACTGGCGTTAGGACGGATATAGGTGATTGAAGGCCATTTTTTGCATCGACTAATGCCAATGGATCTTCAGAGGCATTGATGTGCTTTGCCCGGGCGAATGTAGGCCAGAATGATGTATGCCTGGTGGCGCTGCGTAATTTGATTTATTCTCAAAGCGGGCAGTGCCATGAGAACAAATTGCTCCGACTCGGCGGGTTTAAGCGGAGTGTTGTCAAGACCGCCTTCCAGCACAGCTGTAATCTGAGCACCAGTGGCACCATTGGTTCGTCCACAGAACGGGATGTATTTATCTTCAACTCCCACTACCATAAAGCCAGACATGTGCTACATTTTGTCGTTTGAAGTTCATACTTCATACCGTCACATGCTAAGCTTTTGATCATTAGTATTTATGGCTGAGGAAAAATGGTTATGCGTATATCGCGCACCTGGTCTCGAGCCTGTCTCGGGTTCGTCAGGTGGTAGATGTGACCCGCTTGCACCGCAGACATGATCAACAGGAACGTTTAGTGACTGGTTGGGAAAGTACCGATAGTTTCCGTTAATCATGTCCTGTCGCCGAAGTCTGTGGCATCTACCACGTGACGACGAACTCAAGACAGGTGCAAAACCAGATGTGCAATGTGAACATAACCGTCTTGCCTTACTCCCGTAGTCCGTACTAAACGTTACACGGCGGATGTCATCCGGTCCAACATCCATCCGATCGCTTTTACGTTTGCTGATCATGTTTCATGTTGTTTTGCGGCATTAATAGGTTTACGCTAAGTTATTGCCAAGTGTGTTCAAGCTCGCAATGCCATCTCTAGTCTCGGGAATTAGTTTTTTGAAGCAGAAGTAGTGATGCCAGCAGCCACAGTTTCATGAATGATAGACAATATGACATCAAAGCGGCTAGTATTACGTGGCGTTCGCCGGCCTTAGGAAAGGGAGAAGACACGCCACACAACTCTGCGCCACTTACATATAGGTTAGGTGGAATTTCCAAGGGGGGACTGACCGATAAGTCTCACTCGTCATGTCCTAAATGCATTGAATGTCGTTTGCAAAATAGACAAACCGCAGCGAACAATTCCGCAGTACTCGTGTCCGCGGAACTATAACCTGGCGGAAACGTCCTCAGTACTCTTGTCCGCAACGCTGTAACCTGACGGGGCGTCCTACAGTGCTCGTGTCTGCGCGTCTGTAACCTGATACGGGGCGTCCACTGTGTTCGTGTCTGTGGCATTGTATCCTGACGGGGGCATCCAAGGTGCTTGTACCCGCGTGTCCGTCACCTGACGGGGGCGTCCATAGTACGCGTGCCTGCAGGACGATAACCTGCGCAACTGTAACCTTACGGGGGCGTCCACAGTACGCGTGCCTGTGGGACTGTAACTTGCGCAACTGTAACCTTACGGTGGCGTCCACAGTACGCGTGCCTGCGGGACTGTAACCTGCGCAACTGTAACCTGACAGGGGCGTCCGCAGTGCGCGTGCCTGCGGAACTGTAACCTTACGGGGGCGTCCACAGTACGCGTGCTTGCGGGACTGTAACCTGCGCAACGGTTACCTGACGGGGCGTCCATAGTACGCGTGCTTGCGGGACTGTAACTCGCACAACTGAAACCTTACGGGGGCGTCCACAGTACGCGTGCCTGCGGGACTGTAACCCGCGCGATTGTAACCTTACGGAGGCGTCCACAGTACGCGTGCCTGAGGGACTGTAACCTGCGCAACTGTAACCTGACGGGCTGCTGTCTGGAGCGCGCCGACCTGTCCGGCGCCAACCTAGACTCGGCCCAGCTTTCCTGCGTCAGGATGATCTGTGCCAACCTGGAGTCGGCCTACATGCGCTCCTGCAACTTTGAAGACCCGGGTGGCATCAGGGCTAACCTTGAAGGTAAGCTTACCAGGACGTCCACAGCGCGCGTGTGTGCAGGATCGCGTACCTTGCCGCTGGTGCGCAGAGGCTACCACGCGAAGGTGGCGTATGCCTCGGAAGAGGAGTGCGGGAGGGGTATCTTCCTTAGAGAGTCCATGTGTCACGTAGTACGACACAGACATGCCACCATTAATAAACAGGCTGGCGGCCAAATTATCTCCCGGCTCGTGCCATTCGGGAGTCGGTGCCAGGGCGCGTGCGCAGCAATCGGCTTACTGCGGACGCAAGGATCTGAACGCCGATCGAGCCGCCAACTCTGCGACTAAATCGAAGTAAAAACACGTCGGCCGTCCGGACTCTCAGGAGCCCTTCTTATCGCCCAGAAGCCTTCAGGGTCTCCCGGGAGTGCTGCAGCTGGGTCTCAGGGGCCCTGGAGACGGTCGTGGGAAGCGCTGGAGCTGAGTGTCGGTTGGAAGGCTGCAGCTGCGAGTGGTACGGTGGCCGGGCGCCTGTTGGACACTAGGAGTGGGACGTGTAAGAAAATCTAGCACGCTGCAATTTGTATCTCGCGTATTTAGAGAGCAGTTATAGTGCTGTGATCAACGCCAAAAACGCCACTTCCATTGACCCTGTAGGCGGCCTGGAGAGCGTGTGGACATGACTCGTGTGTCCAGCGAGAGTGTGCAGACATGACTCCTGTCTCCAGCTCCATGTGTTTATCTCCGTGGAAAGAGGTTGTTCGTCAGGGGGGCTGCCGTCCGTGCGGCATTATCCTGAGACCCTGTGGATTTATCTCAACCGCAAACTTATTGTTCACGATGGTAATGCACTTCGCATTTTATCCTGGGCTGTCAGCTAGACAATAAGCTCATGATTTAGATTAACGGCCTAGCTGTTCATGGAGGTTCAGGAATTTGGGCCACGAGGTGCAAATATTTTGTGATAGAGATCTTTGCTAAGACTGATTGTTGCAGCAGAGTAGGGCAGTTGTTAAATAGCGTGTTGTTCAAGTACGTTGATTTATATATTTAGCCGCCCTTTCACGCCAAGACAATCGTGTGCGCGCTCACCGTTTCCCGGTGTGTCTTCCGCCAGGTGCCAACATGAAGGGCGCCATACTGACGGGCAGCAACATGTCCTCCATAAACCTGCGCGTGGCGACGCTGAAGAACGCCAATCTTCAGGACTGTGACCTGCGGCTGGCCATCCTGGCCGGAGCCGACCTCGAGGTGGGTGCGACCCCGGCTTGGCGGTGACGTGCTGCCGCTGAGGTCGGGGACACCCTGGCTTACCTCATCTGCCGCCGACGCAGCCGATCACGTGGTCAGGGCCGGCACCAGGGGCTGATCTGAGCTGCTGTCGGTCCGGCCGGTCACGTGGTCAGGGCCGGCACCAGGGGCTGATCACAGCTGCTGTCGATGCAGCCGGTCACGTGGTCAGGGCCGGCACCAGGGGCTGATCTGAGCTGCTGTCGGTCCGGCCGGTCACGTGGTCAGGGCCGGCGCCAGGGGCTGATCTCAGCTGCCGTCGATGCAGCCGGTAACGTGGTCAGGGCCGGCACCAGGGGCTGATCTCAGCTGCCGTCGATGCGGCCGGTCACGTGGTCGGCCGGCACCAGGGGCTGATCTGAGCTGCTGTCGGTCCGGCCGGTCACGTGGTCAGGGCCGGCACCAGGGGCTGATCTCAGCTGCCGTCGATGCAGCCGGTCACGTGGTCAGGGCCGGCACCAGGGGCTGATCTGAGCTGCTGTCGGTCCGGCCGGTCAAGTGGTCAGGGCCGGCACCAGGGGCTGATCTCAGCTGCCGTCGATGCAGCCGGTCACGTGGTCAGGGCCGGCACCAAGGGTTGATCTCAGCTGCTGTCGGTGCAGCCGATCACGTGGTCAGGGTCGGCACCAGCAGCTGACCTCAGCTGTCGCCGGTGCGGCTGATCACGTGGTCGGGGCCGGCACCAGGTCCTGACCACGTGACCGTTTGAAGGCAAAGAGCCGCGTGCTCGGTTTCGGTAGGCAGATGCCAGCGTGTATAGTCCACGCATAGCTATCCGTTTTAACTTAAGTTTTGCGGCATGCATTGGAGCAAATCACCTGCTCAAAACGCTGTATTGACAACGACGCAACACAGATCCCAGGCCAGTCACAGTGCCGTCAGTCGGCCGCACCTGTGCCGTCAGCCGGCCGCACCTGTGCCGTCAGCCGGCCACACCTGTGCTGTCAGCTGGCCGAACTTGTGCCGTCAGCCGACTGCACCTGTGCCGTCAGCCGGCCGCACCGCCCAAGCGGCGGCCGGACGGCGGGCTGGGCTCTTTTCGGCCCGCCATCACCACCCGATAGCACCGGCTATGGTGCGGGGCAGTTGTGTAGAGCCTTGTACCTTATGGTGTACGACAGACACGTGGTGGTCAAGAAAGGCGTGTATCATGTTGGCCCCCCCCCGAGTTTCGTGTGGATGGAGGTGTGTGAAATTGGAACAAAGGCGACGCTGAGTCACTGCTTTTGATCGAGAGCTGTGAATTATCTCCATCTCAGCTGCTGCTCAGTTATCTTATCTCGAATTGCCTCCAGCCCCTTGACTTTTGATGACGGTGGTGTTGGTGACGGCTGTATCATTTTTCTTCCGAACCGATATTGATGGCGGTGCCAGGGCCTGTTTCCCGGCGAGTAGGCCCTCGCAGCGGGTGCTGTTGGGAAGTCATTGATGACGCTGTTAGGCAGGGACTAGTCAGAGGCGGTGTCGCATGCCTGTGGTCTTCCGTGCCAACCCCACTACCGTGAGTGTGATTTGATTTTGAGTTGCCATGAGCGTTGGTTGGTAGATGGACAAGACATTTTT